CCCGCTGCATCCCTTTTTCGATAGTTCCGAACTAGTCCTAAATTCTATAGTTCCGAACCAGTTCTAAAATCGACAGACGAAAGAAAAAAGTATCATGATTTTTCAATCTTTTTGGTTCTTCCGTGTGTGCGATTTTAAGTTATTTTGGAAGAAATGTGTTTTCAATTTGAAATTAAATTTGTTTGAATGATTGTAAGAAATGTACGTTTACATACCTTTAGCTGTAGCTGAGTTTGCAGAGGTTCTCGCTGTTATTTCTTAGATTCCAGACGGTCCCAAGATGTTGAAATGTTAACACAAATTTTGATTTTGTATTACCAAGCTATGAAAAAGCATCTGCGCAGTACAGAATAGAAGCGTATTTGAACGAAAAAGCCGCCGAACACATATGTACGTAAAGTAAACAAGCCCACCGCTGCATCTCTTTTTCGATAGTTCCGAACTAGTTCTAAATTCGACAAATAAGATCTAGTTCGTTCTGCATCCCTTTTTCGATAGTTTCGAACTAGTTCTAAATTCGTCACTTAAGATATAGATTTCTGGTGAAAAAAACTTTAAAAAATTAGTTCTTTTAAAGTACCACTTTTCGCCGATTTTGGACTGGTTCGGATCTAGTTCGTATCAGACTAGTTCCTTTTTGGCGATAAAGCCCTAGTACGGAACTAGAAATTTGATTCACTAGTCCGCGGTTTCCCTGCAGGGTATACGTACTGACTCACTCGTACACTCACGCACACACACACACTTCCTCTGCTGTCATTGACTTTTGCATTGCGCCGCCGTGTCCCAATTTCAGGTCTTCCTCGTAATTTTAACTTTTCAGCCACTGTTGTGTTATTCTGATGCTTTGCTCAACTGAAACNGCCCAACCAGTTCTGAAATCGACGGACGAAAGAAAAAAGTATTTTTGGTTCTTCCGTGTGTGCGATTTTAAGTTATTTTGAAAGAAATGTGTTTTCAATTTGAAATTAAATTTGTTTGAATGTTTGTAAGAAATGTACGTTTACATACCTTTAGCTGTAGCTGAGTTTGCAGAGGTTCTCGCTGTTATTTCTTAGATTCCAGACGGTCCCAAGATGTTGAAATGTTAACACAAATTTTGATTTTGTATTACCAAGCTATGAAAAAGCATCTGCGCAGTCCAGAATAGAAGCGTATTTGAACGAAAAAGCCGCCGAACACATATGTACGTAAAGTAAACAAGCCCACCGCTGCATCGCTTTTTCGATAGTTCCGAACTAGTTCTAAATTCGACAAATAAGATCTAGTTCGTTCTGCATCCCTTTTTCGATAGTTCCGAACTAGTTCTAAATTCGTCACTTAAGATATAGATTTCTGGTGAAAAAAACTTTAAAAAATTAGTTCTTTTAAAGTACCACTTTTCGCCGATTTTGGACTGGTTCGGATCTAGTTCGTATCAGACTAGTTCCTTTTTGGCGATAAAGCCCTAGTACGGAACTAGAAATTTGATTCACTAGTCCGCGGTTTCCCTGCAGGGTATACGTACTGACTCACTCGTACACTCACGCACACACACACACTTCCTCTGCTGTCATAGACTTTTGCATTGCGCCGCCGTGTTCCAATTTCAAGTCTTCCTCGTAGTTTTAACTTTTCAGCCACTGTTGTGTTATTCTGATGCTTTGCTCAACTGAAACTGCTACGAAACCAACCACCACTAACGAACGACCGTCATATAATCAGCTTAAAATTGTCAAAGTTGTCGCACCTATTAGCAGAAATTGTTAATGACATTTTATGCTGCTGTAGCGGAGGCTGCTGTTTGCTGTTTGCAATGGCTGAGCATTGAAAAACTTGCGCTGATCAGGGACTGTACTTGTACTATAGCGTGGTCGTAGTCAATTTTTATTTACAAAAAATATTATTTCTTTAATGAACTAAAATATAACTGCATCTAACTAGATTGCCTAAATTCTAATTTTATTTAAAGATCTATTGTAAATCGGCCGACTAATAATGCCCCACCAATAGTGATGGTACTGGTAACAATTTTCATTTTTATTTAACCGTTTTTTTTGTATTATTTATCTAAACGACTCGTCTTTGTGAGGTTAGTTAGAAGTACTTCGTACTTTCACGCAGACGCATATTTGCCAATTGTGAATACTTTCCATTAATAGGTTTTAATATGAGGTACATCCCTTAAGTTCGGAATATCCCATTGATTGTTCAGATATCAGAAATAGCACAAACGGCAATAAAGCAAAATTTGCTTTATTTCACTTCTAAATTTGAACGAATACTCGGTACTCGGATGAATGGCGCAATAAACAGNCTCGTAGTCAATTTTTATTTACAAAAAATATTATTTCTTTAATGAACTAAAATATAACTACATCTAACTAGATTGCCTAAATTCTAATTTTATTTAAAGATCTATTGTAAATCGGCCGACTAATAATGCCCCACCAATAGTGAAGGTACTGGTAACAATTTTCATTTTTATTTAATCGATTTTATTTGTGATAACACAAACGGCAATAAAGCAAAATTTGCTTTATTTCACTTTTAAATGGGAAATAATACCAAAATCCAAGTTTTGCTTTATTTCCAACAAAGGTTCTAAGGTCTCAGACGTCTAAATTTGAACGAATACTCGGTACTCGGATGAATGGCGCAATAAACAGGTGAAGTAATAAAACAGCTTTCTCGCTTTATTCTGACATTCGGCTGTCTTATAGTCACATTTTATAGACTTGCTTTCAAATAAGAGTGTCAAAATATTTCTTCTCACTCTAATATTACTTCACCTGGTATAATTTCACTATGGGTGGGGTGCATGCAATAACACCATACGCAATAATTCCCATTACTTGGACACTAAAAGGCAGTTTCAGAAGTGAACTAGTATCATTTTATTATTATTCTTTTTTCTAAACGGTTATAATGCCAGCAGTGCATAATTGCGAAAGGAGGGGAGGGGGCGGGGGACGCGAGCGTGATGTCGAACGCTGGGCACTTCAAAACGCTGGGCACTTTCAAAATTGTATACTTACAAATCCGTCCATTTAAATTGTTCAAATGTAACTGGGTGACTACCTACATATGTGCACTATTTTGCTTTATTACTCAAAATGTTACGTCTAAAAGTTGGTCTTATTGCTCAAAGAGAAATGAAATAAAGCAAATTTGTGTTATTTCAAATTCAATTGGGAAATAACACNCGAGCGTGATGTCGAACGCTGGGCACTTCAAAACGCTGGGCACTTTCAAAATTGTATACTTACAAATCCGTCCATTTAAATTGTTCAAATGTAACTGGGTGACTACCTACATATGTGCACTATTTTGCTTTATTACTCAAAATGTTACGTCTAAAAGTTGGTCTTATTGCTCAAAGAGAAATGAAATAAAGCAAATGTGTGTCTTTTTTAGTCTTTTAAAAATTAGACATACATTTTTAGTTATTTAAAAGTCTGGCATATAAAATATAGTTTATGTTTTATAACATTTAATTAAAATTTAAATTGTACAAGTTTTAAATGTCCAAAATATATGGCCAAATTTAAAATTACAAAAAAAAAAAAATATGTTANTACGTTATTTCACCCTCTCCAACTCCCTCCCTTTTCTTTCTTTTTTAAATTAAATGTTCTTTTAATTTTAAAATTAAAATATTTTTTTCAATTTTTAAATTTTTAATTAAAAATTTTTAGTCTTTTAAAAATTAGACATACATTTTTAGTTAGTTAAAAGTCTGGCATATAAAATATAGTTTCTGTTTTATAACATTTAATTAAAATTTAAATTGTACAAATTTTAAATGTCCCAAATATATGGCCAAATTTAAAATTGCAAAAAAAAAAATATGTTAAAAATTTATTTGTTTTTTTTTTAGTTTTTGCCCAGCTTTTAAACCACCAAAATTCTACTTCCTAATTTTGAACTACTAAAATATTATGTCAAATTTTCACTGCCAAGCATTCAATTGTATCCCAGAATTAATGGCGACGCATATTTTACTGTAATCTCATACCAAAACGGTTGTCATATAATTATTC